GTAGAATCTCTGGTTTCCACACACATCTGCTTCCCACCTTGGCGTAAGAGGCAGCACGGGAAGGGACATCCGTCGCGGGACTGCTGCAATCCCCAGTGAAAGCCGGCATTGCTGCAGGCGTGAGAGCAGCCCCAGTGGCTGTGGTACGTGGTGGTGATGCTGGTTAAACCTTTAGCTACCCATTGCAGCCCAGAAGCTCCGGCAGCCCCGCAGCATGCCCTGGCGTGCCCAGGAACGGCTGGTCAGAGCAAGAGGGTACGTTGGAGCCTTCCCCCGGTTCTTGCCCTCCTTGTAGTTGGTGGTTTAGGCTCCTGCGATGATAGCGCCTTTTTTAAGACTCCAAGTCCTCCGCTCCTGTTGAAGGATGTTGGCAGGCAGGGGCGGTGCTTGGCACCTCTCAGGGCTAGTAAATGACTCACCTCCCAAACCACTTTGTGTGGGCGTAGAGCACAGGTGAGACTTTTTACCCCTCCGGCAATCACTGAAGTGAGGTTCTTGGGTGGGTATGGGTGGAGCTGTTGTGGCATTGGCCAAAATGCTGATGACTTTAGCTGTGGGGAAGTCACGAGCGCTCATTTATTTAACGGCTCTGTCTTGGTTTTGTTCCTGATGCTGTAGGTATAACAGTCTGGTGACCGGCAAGCGGGCGAGAGGACTCATTGCTGTGCTGTGGCTCCTGTCCTTTGGAATCGGACTGACTCCGCTTATGGGCTGGAATAAAGCCATGAGTGGTTGTCCCAATGCCACCAACGAGACAGAGGCTGACCCCAGGACAGAGGACCATGGCTGCTTCATCTCGTGCCTCTTTGAGAATGTGGTAACGATGAGCTACATGGTGTACTTCAACTTCTTCGGTTGCGTGCTGCTTCCGCTCGTTATCATGCTGGGTATCTATATTAAGATATTCATGGTGGCCTGCAAACAGTTGCATCAGATCGAACTGATGGGCAACTCCAGGACCACGCTGCAGAAGGAGGTCCATGCAGCCAAGTCTCTGGCCATCATCGTAGGACTTTTTGCCTTCTGTTGGCTCCCCCTGCATATCTTGAACTGCATCACTCACTTCCATGAGGAGTTCTCCAAATCCAAGCCTGAGTGGGTGATGTACATGGCCATCATCCTCTCCCACGCCAACTCTGTCATCAATCCCATCATCTACGCCTACAGGATCAGGGACTTCCGCTACACCTTCCGCAAGATCATTTCCAAGATCCTCTGTAAGACAGACGACTTCCCCAAGTGTGCCACTGACAATGACCAGCACCTGCCCGGCACCAACGTGACCTCTCCAGTCGCCTCTGTCACCGTATGACCTTGCGCATCCTGGGGCTTGGCCGTCTGTCCCCAACACTACCCCTCCCTGTGCCTCTGTGAACCTTACAGCTGCCTCCTGGAGGAGGGCTCAGAGATGACCACTATGCAGCTGTATTTTTTTTATTTTTGTAATTAACATAGTGCCTCCTAGAGGAATAACCTGAGCAGGGAGACTGAGCGCAGCTCATGTGCGACTGTAAACCCAGGTTGCGTTGAGCGCTGATGATCGTGTTTCCTTTCCCAGGTCAGACGTTGACTGTGGAAGACCCACCTGCTGGGGGGGTGTTTCCCCAGCTGTGCTGCTCATGTCAAGTCCTAGGATCTTTATTTTAATTATTTTTTTTTCTAATTTTTTGATTCATGTAGGAGTAATAATTTTGTGTCTTTTTGAGTTGTCCTTTAAGTCCATACTTGACAGCACTTTGGTAATACCCTAATTATTCCATCAATTGTTTGATGCAGCTCGTATTCTCCAATGGGAAAAAGTCTTATTTAGCCCAGTTGCCGGTGTGAAACTGAATCTGCATTCCAGGCTCTGAGGGACGTGACCGTGTTGATGGGAAAACAAGATCAGAACTGGCCGGCTATTTTTGGCCCCAGGATGGGAGCCCTACTTACCGAAAGAGAAAAATTTCAGCAAAGGGTTGACTGAAGTTTTAGAACAGCAGTTTTATTGCCTTTAAATCACTCTGGGCTCCAGGACTGTGCAGACCAATGCTTCAGGTTTGATTTCAGATCTGTTTCCAGATGCTGAAATGAGGCAGAAACGCCCAGTGGGCTCAGCTGGCTGGATGCAGAGTTGCCGAGGTTTGTGCAAACACTCACCTGGTGTCATCGTCTCTACAGATGGATATTTGCTCAAAGCCTGCCAGCTTCGCAGTGCTTCCAGAAGCGCAGGTTTTAGCTCTGACAGCTGGATGCTGCAGCTCGCCTCATTCCTAAGGCTGGGTCTTGCTGGGGCTCCTGTGCAGCCCAGCAACTCCCAGAAGCTGTGAGTGTTCTGTTGGTTTTTTTCTAATAGTGATTTTTATTTTTTTATTTATTTTTTTTTTTAAATCATGACCTGCATCAGTAGCAAAAGAGACTGGAAGGGAGCTGACTTGCTTGAGAAGCTGGGATGCCTTGACTTGTGACTGATTTTGGCCGAGCTCTCTGGGGCAGAAGATCCGGGGCAGGTCGCCCAGCCTGGCCCCCGCAGCCCTTTGCAAGGACAGAGCAGCTCAGCAGCAGCCAGTCTTAATTTGTCCTGCAAGTTAATGACTCTCTGCACCCACAGCTCGGTAATGACTGCACCCGATTTAATGTGTAACCGTGATGTGCAAACCTAGGCACCGGTAGGGAGAGCTGGGCTAGTGGGAGGTGTCCCTGCCCATGGCAGGGGGTTGGCACTCGGTGATCTCTGAGGTCCCTTCCAACCCAAACCATCCTGTGACTGTGATTCTATGAACAGTGCAGGAATTTCTGAAGTATGAGCTCCACTTCTCCAGGCTGAATGACGGCACGTGCGCTGCTGTAAATGAACCCGTGTTGCTGGCATGTCTTTTATTTTGCAGGGCAGTGTCATTCCACAACCAAGAGGAACAGGGAGGGGAGGGGAGGCAGAAAAACACCAGTCTCCCTGCTTTGTGCCCAAAAGCCAACCGTGGCAGAGACCCGGCTGTTCTGTGCTAGCTCAGCCCTGCCGTCACCCCGTGGAGTCTGGCCTGACGGTCCCTGCGTGGTGAAATGCGCCCGTCTCTCTCTGAAGCACTCGATGCCAGCAGCGTCACCGTGCCACCAGTGGGCTGATGGAGGGCGGGGATGTGTGAACTGTGGGTTTCGGCGGTAACCTCTGCGGGGAGGCAGAGATGGGAGCAGGGAGCAGCTTTTTAGAGCCGGGCGGCAGGGAAGGACGTTTAAACAGAGCCAGCTCCTGAAGAGCAGCTGCAGCAGACAGGCTGTGATGCCTGGAGCGGTTTGTCCCTGATAAATTGTACTTGAATCATGTAGAAATCAGATTTCTATTTCTTTAACTCCATTGCACTAAAAGGGGGGTACTGTAAGACCCCACGAGTTTCATTCCTCTGGCATATACACATACTGTGTCAAATCAGCCAGCCCCAGACCTTGGTAACCACCAGTGAGCTCTGAATGGGTTTGTATGCGTTCATTCAAGAGCCGAATTTAGCTACAGGTTGGTATCTCGGATACTGGCATTTCCAAGAAGAATCTGAATAGTTAAAGTTACCGTCCCAAATGTCTCTCCCTTAACAGCCCCATTCAGCTTTGCTGCATCTGCCTTGGTTGTGGTCCAGCTAACACGTGTAGCCACCTCCTGCCATTTGGGCAGGGTTGGACTCTTCCTCTCATTCCTTCCCTTCTGTGTGATCCTTGGCTGTATTCCTCCTGTTACCCATGGCTGGAAATGAACAGGGTTTCACCTGCAGGTCTGGCAGTGGTGCAAAGTGGTTGCAAGCCACGTTTGTCCTTACAACCAAGAAAGTAATCTCTCCCTTCCTGCTGGCTGAAAATGAACCAAGCTGTGGACAGCACAAGCAGACCGAAACACCCAGCGCTGCCATACAGAGAGAGCTGCTCCCAGAACACTCACAGCTTGCACTGCAGCTCAGCATCCACAACCGCTCCCTTTCTTGCGCCTTGTATGAGCCAGAATTCCTGCAGAGAGATGTGGTGCATCCCCAGCATGGCTGTGCCATCGGGTCTTTATCCATTATCAACTATGGCCCGGGTCACTGTGGCCATTAGGCACATTAAGTGCCTTTGGGGATCTGAGCCAAAATCATTTCACAAAAACAAGGCACCTCCTGCCCCTCCCCCCCCCCCCCCCCCCCCCCCCGAAAAAAAAGCTCTGAAGGTTTCTATAAAAATGTGAAGTGAAAATGTCAGAGGCACTTTGTGCAGCGAGTGCAGCTGTAGTTCTCCAGCTCTCACTCAGCACTGCTCTGATGTACGTAGGATGGGTGTGTTTCCTCGTGTTGCTCAGATTTTGTATTTGCAGTAACTGTTATTTACATACAGAATGCTTCATTTACCACCTACACAACCTGGCTCAGCCTGTGCCCCGTTATTCCTTGCGGTGCTGTGTTCACACGGGGTGTCACACGAGGCTGCGCTGCTCTCCAGGAGGATGGGCAGGGAGTCAGGGCTGATCGGAGCTGGTTCCCAGCTCACGGCTGGGGGGGGGGGC